CGGGGAAAGAGGGATGCAGTGTGTTGGCAGGGGCGCTGTAAGATGGTCAAGGAAGACCTCTCAGCTTGTTAACTCAAAGACCGGGTCACCTCTTGGTGGGTATCGAGCCAAAACACACAACCAATGGGAATTCCCTGGCGGTCCAGTGGTTAGGACTCCATGCTTTCACTGCCGAGGGCCTGGGTTCAGTCCCTAGTTGGGGAACTAAGATATTGCAAGCCGCATGGCACAGCCAAAAACAAAAACAAAAAGACACAACCTAGCCAAAGAGTGGGAGGAGGAAGGATTTACTACTTGCAGCAAGTAAGGAGAACACCAAGGATCTTTCCCAAAGCAGTGTCTCCCCGAACAGCAAAATAGGGGAAGTTTAAGCATATTTGTGAAGGAGCTTGAGCAGAGGAGAATTCAGCATAGAATTGGGGCAAAGGTTGCCAGAGCCCAAGCTCTAGTTGACTGAAGTCATGAGGATCAGAAAAGGTCAACATCATCATTCCTTAGGTTCCACCCAGTTTGGGATCTTTGCATGTAGTTACCATCCTTCACCTGGGTGGGGACTTAAGTTCCTGAAGAACAGCTCAAAGATATGTACCAGATTGTTATTGGAATCTGTTTTAGCGCTGAACTATTGTTTCTTTTCTTTTCTTTTCTTTTTTTTTTTTACTGGTGTATAGTTGTTTTACCATGTTGTATTAGTTTCTACTGGACAGCAAAGTGGAGTTCCCTGTGCTATACAGCAGGTTCTCATTAATTATCTGTTTTATACATATTAGTGTATATACATCAATCCCAATCTCCCAATTCATCCCACCTCTCTTTTCCCCCCTTGGTGTCCATACGTTTGTTCTCTACGTCTGTGTCTCTATTTCTGCCCTGCAAACCAGTTCATCTGTACCATTTTTCTAGATTCCACAAATATGCGTTAATATATATATATTTTGAACTATTGTTTCTTGACTGCTTTTCCTTTGTTCCTGCCTTCTTTTGTTCCCTTAAACTCATTAATTACTGAGACCTGTTCAAGGGCAAGCATTGTGGCCAGGCTTAGATCACAAAATGGCATAGGCCTAAAATGGCTTCTCTTATATCAAGAAAGCCATGCCTGGTTCTTTTTCTCTGGGGTCCCCTACCCTATCTGCTTACAAGATTAGCTGATTTGAGTACAGACCCAAAGAAAGTAAGAGAAGAAGCCAAGGTGTGTGGGTCTGGGAGAAGTGTGCCATGCACGGTGAACAGCAAGAGCAAAGGCCCTGAGGTGTGACAATGCTTAGCATATTTGAGGAGTAGTAAGAGAGTGGGGAAAGAGCGGAAAAAATAAGAAGGAGGGGTATGCAGATCATACCGTAATGCAAAGTCTTTTAGTTAAGAACTTGACCTTTACTCAGAGGGAAATAATAAGCCATTGAAAAGTTTTGAACAGAGAAGTAAAATGATCTTTTCAGCTACTCTGTAGAGAATAAATTGAAAGGGGACACAGATGGAAGCAGGGAGTCCAGTTAGGAGGCCAATTCATAAATCCAGGTGAGACATGCTGGTGGCTTGGACTAGGGTGGTAGGGGTGGAGGGAGAAGGGAATCATGGAACGTGAGTAATAACTTGTTCCCCTTTGCAGAAAGATAGTGTTAATAGATGGGCTGGTCCGTGTGGAGACTGACATGGGAGCCTCAAAATAGGCTATTGTCAGGGTTTTGCCAAAGAGGATAAGGATGCTCCTCCCTAGAGTGTGGCCACTGGTGTAAGGTAGTTCATCTACCCCATCTAACCTGAATGATAAAATGGCTCTCAAACCCTTTCCTTATTTTGCCTTGATTCTCTGTTTGCCAAGCATCCAAGATCTCTTAATTGATGCCTTGGACATAAGTGATCTGATCTCAAGAAAAGAATGACCCCCCACTAGGAATGAATACTTGGTATCAATCTCTTATGATTGTGGTGAGAATCATTTATCTTTTCTGGGGAACTGAGGGCCAGGAACAAGGTGACCCCAAAACCGTGTAACTCAGATTGGGACTTGAACCCACGGTCTTTTTTTTTTTTTTTTTTTTT